TCAGCATTGTCACAAGTGTGCTGGAGAGCTACTGTCAGCATTGTCGCTTGTGTGTTGAAAAGGTACAGTCAGCATTGTCACTGGTGTGTTGGAGAGGTATTGTTAGCATTGTCACTGGTGTGTTTGACAGCTACTGTGTGGTGTGTTAAAGCTTTGCCACTGGTGTGTTAGAGACCCAATGTCACCATTGTCACTGGTTTGTCGGAGAGATGATGTCAGCATTGTCACTGGTGTGTTGGAAAGAAAATGTTAGCATTGTCAATGATGTTTTGGAGAGCCAATGTCAGCATTGTCACTAATATTTTGGAGAACCAATGTCAGCATTAACACTGATGTGTTGCAGAGCCAATGTCAGCATTGTCACTGATGTTTTGGAGAGCCACTGTCAGCATTGTCGCTTGTGTGCTATAGAAAAACTGTCAGCATTGTCACTTGTGTGTTTGAGAGGTACTGTAAGCATTGTCACTGATGTTTTGGAGAACCAGGGTCAGCATTGACACTGATGTGTTGCAGAGCAAACATCAGCATTATCACTGAAGTTTTGGAGAACCAATGTCAGCATTGACACTGATGTGTTGCAGAGCCAATGTCAGCATTGTCACTGATGTTTTGGGGAGTCACTGTCAGCATTGTCACTGGTGTGAAAGAAAGCCAATGTCATCATTGTCACCGGTGTGTTAGAGAGCTAACTGTCAGCATTGTCACTGGTGTGTTAGAGAGCTACTCACAGCATTGTCACTGGTGTCTTAGAGAGCTACTGTCAGCATAGTGACTGGTGTGTTGGAGAGCTACTGTCAGCATTGTCACAGGTGTGTTTGAGAGCTACTGTCAACATTGTCACTGGTGTGTTGGAGAGCCAATGTCAGCATTGTCACAGGTGTGTTGGAGAGCTACTGTCAGCATTGTCACAGGTGTGTTTGAGAACTACTGTCAACATTGTCACTGGTGTGTTAGAGAGCAAATGTCAGCATTGTCACTGGTGTGTGGGAGAGCTGATATCAGCATTGTCACTGGTGTGTTGGCGATCCCATGTCAGCATTGTCACAGATGTTTTGGAGAACCAATGTCAGCGTTGTCACTCATGTGTTGCAGAGTCAATGTCAGCATTGTCACTGATGTTTTGGAGAGCCACTGTCAGCATTGTCGCTTGTGTGTTATAGAGTTACTGTCAGCATTGTCACTGGTGTCTTTGAGAGCTACTGTCATCATTGCCACAGGTTTGTTGGATAGCTACTGTCAGCATTGTAACTGGTGTGTTAGAGATCAACCGTGAGCATTGTCACTGGTGTGTTGGAGAGCTATTGTCAGCATTGTTACTGGTGCGTTAGAGAGCTACTGTCAGCATTGTCACTGGTGTTTTGGAGTGCTACTGTCAGCATTGTCGCTGGTGTGTTGGAGAGGAACAGTCAGCATTGTCACTGGTGTGTTAGAGAGCTTTTGTCAGCATAGTCACTGTTGTTTTGGAGAACTATTGTCAGCATTTTCACTGGTGTGTTGGAGAGCTACTGTCAGCATTGTCACTGGTGTGCTGGAGAGCCACTTTCAGCATTCTCACTTGTGTGTTGAAGAAGTACTGTCATCATTGTCACTGGTGTGTTGGGGAGGTACTGTTAGCATTGTCACTGGTGTGTTTGAACGCTACTGTCAGCACTGTCACTGGAGTGTTTGACAGCTACTGTCAGTATTGTCACTGGTGTGTTAGAGAGCAACTGTCAACATTGTCGCGTGTGATTGGAGAGGTACTGTCAGCATTGTCACTGATGTGTTTGAGAGCTACTGTCATCATTGTGACTGGCTTGCTGGAGAGCCACTGTCAGCATTGTCGCTTGAGTGTTGAAGAATTACTGTAAGCATTGTCACTGGTGTGTTGGAGAGGTACGGTTAGCATTGTCACTGGTGTGTTGGAGAGGTACGGTTAGCATTGTCACTGGTGTGTTTGACAGCTACTGTCAGCATTGTCGCTTGTGTGTTGAAGAGGTACTGCCAGCATTGTCACTGCCAGCAGAGGTACTGCCAGCATTGTCACTGCCAGCAGAGGTACTGCCAGCATTGTCACTGCCAGCAGAGGTACTGCCAGCATTGCCACTGCCAGCAGAGGTACTGCCAGCATTGTCACTGCCAGCAGAGGTACTGCCAGCATTGCCACTGCCAGCAGAGGTACTGCCAGCATTGTCACTGCCAGCAGAGGTACTGCCAGCATTGCCACTGCCAGCAGAGGTACTGCCAGCATTGTCACTGCCAGCAGAGGTACTGCCAGCATTGCCACTGCCAGCAGAGGTACTGCCAGCATTGTCACTGCCAGCAGAGGTACTGCCAGCATTGCCACTGCCAGCAGAGGTACTGCCAGCATTGTCACTGCCAGCAGAGGTACTGCCAGCATTGTCACTGCCAGCAGAGGTACTGCCAGCATTGTCACTGCCAGCAGAGGTACTGCCAGCATTGTCACTGCCAGCAGAGGTACTGCCAGCATTGCCACTGCCAGCAGAGGTACTGCCAGCAT